CCCCTCATGCCTAGCGTGCTGGGTAGGGGCTTTGGCGGGGAACTGCTGCAACAGACAGTTCTACGGGGCGTGGCCTGGCTTCTTGCACCTGAAACACGTAATAAGCTCGGCAGATGAAGACGCACCTGCACCGCCAGCGCCACCAGGCGCTTTCGCTTTCACCCATGTCTGTTGCTAAGACGGTTTCTTACGGGCCTGTACGGCGCCACCACGCGATTGCCTACGCTGCCTGTCTTCCAACTCAACAGCGCGCTACTCGATCGCAACATTTCAAGCAATCTCAAAGACTAGCTTAGGGTTACTGTTTCAGCTACCTTGCATGTGGAGCTTGCTTTCCACCTTGACCTTTCGCTCGGGCGGAGCCAACCCAGCCACAACTGCTTCCCTGATTGATGACAGCAGCCGGACCTTTCTTGAACATGCCCGCGGAGTCGCGGAAAACGCGTTCAGCACAAGGATTTTCGAGTTAGTGCTCGAGGCGGCTTTGAACAGCGTCGATCCGATCGATAGCAGTAGCCTCAGTTCCCATGGCTACCAAACGAGTCACCGCAGCGGCCGCAATCGAACACTCAATGGTATCGTCCGTCCAGCATTCAGCATGTTTGGCCAGAGCCTCACGCAGGTCAGTTTCTTGGGGTTCGGTGCCATCAAAGTATGTGCGCGACAGGCATTTGGGGATAGACTGGCCCAGCAATTGAGACACAGTGAGCAGCGGGCGTTTGGTGGACTGCCCACGGTTGCAGAGACCTATGCTCCACTCGTATTCGTTGTACAGCGTATAGAACCGCAAGAACGAAGCTCTCGACAAAGTGCGTCATACTCGGGCGGTTTGGGCCCATTGCCCAAGACCAAATCGGTAAGCCCACCCTGAATCTCATCAACCTCTTCAGCAGAACCTTGCTGTTCGCCAAACGCCCCTATGCCGGCATTGGAGCGTCTCTGGGCCATCGCGCCGTCGGATGCCCGGGCAGATGAAGACAGCAGCTCCCCCAGCCTAGCCTTGCACTGTGTGCGGCGGGAAAAACACGGAGAAAATAGCTTGTACTGCTGCTGTCAAGAAAAAAATTGACTCTGACTGACTCTGGTCGGTCAGTCTGAGGTATCGATAACTGCAGGAACGCCTGAAGTCAGGCAGAGCCCAGGGCCAGCGTCTTTCCCCAGTGGCCTCGGGGGGCTGGTCGGTTCATCTCCTGAGTGATGGTAAACAGAGTGTATTATTCCACCCGAGTCTCTCTCTCTCGCCATCTATCTCTCTCTTCTGCCAACATCCCAACCAGACTGAGAGAAACCCCAATATACCATATCCTAGACATGCTGATATCCAAAGGCATCCTTCCACCATGAACCACTACTAGCCAGGTGCGCTGCGTCCACACCTTGCACATCTTGCGCTTGGGTGGATTTGAGACGTGAAGGAAACACTGTGCCTTCTTGGTTGCACACTGGTAGCACATGCGGTGCACCTCGTTGCCGCCCGTATCCCCCAACTCCTCACACATGCCGTGCACACGGCTACCACAGCCACACCTACAATCATGCGAGCCGCATGAACTCAGTCTCGCATCTGGAAGCTTGTATCTCGCTGTGTGCTTTTTATTATGGGCATTAACCAAGCCAACCGGCTGACCAACGGTGCTGTGTGCTGTGAGTGTGTGCAAGCGAAACACGCTCTGGCTCTCCGCAACATTTGAACCAATATCCGCTGTTTGTTGCTGAAAACATGCCCAATAACTGTATTGAGGGCACGATCGGTCTGACCGCTGAACCGGGTTTAGTCGCGTCATGTTATTGCATAACCGCTATTAGCTGATAGCGGTAAGGGCATCCCGCTGAACAGGGAACGGCTTAACCGCCTATGTTACAGATTCGGCTTCGGCATGCACTATCCTTGGGTTTCTCAAACGGATAGTCCAAACCCGAAACACAAGCAGCAAGCGGTCCGAAAGGTATGATAGCATACAGAAACGCCAAACACATCCCCATCGCGTTTTCATATTGCATTTGTCCAATCCGCAAAACACAGTCGAAGCGTCTTTTTACAAAAAAAAATCACTCAGAACATGTGAAAAATCCATAATCACAAGTTGGATTCGCAGGTGGTCTCAAGCAAATGCTAGCCCCGCACATCATCGTGCACACGCGAGCTCGCCCCGCAATGTGAATGCCCCCATCCATCGCGCGAGAAACGACGCACCCGTTGGATACGATCGAGAACACGCAAAAACACACGCAGACAACAGGGTAATTATCATCTTCGATCACAAACACGCGGTAAACACCCCTAGAAAAAGGTTGCCGTATGGCCGTGCTCGGCCAGAGATACTCGCACCACCTCCAAAAACAGATCCCGCAAAGGTACGTCGATGCAGAACTTGCTCGCAGAGCACCCTAACACGCAAAATAGGCCACACATTTACGAACGCTGTAAAAAACACAAGATACGACGTTAGCCAAAGTTGCGCATCTGAAACAATATCGGCATCAAACTCGGAGACATGAACACGAGCGACGGAATGGAAACATGCCTAACTCCATCGGCGGAACAAAGTCATACCATGACCGCATGCGGTCCGAGCAGTACGTTGAAACACCGCGTTGGTATCAGGGAGTCGAAAACAAACGACTCGAAACCACGAAAGATTCAATTTACAACGGAAGCTGATCGGCATGAGGGAGATGGCACAAGTATGAATGTGATGACGTCGCAGGAAACCCTCCATATGCGTCCCTTTCAAACCATTGCTTGTCCTTCATTTGCGCCATTGCACCCCTTGTTGCATGTTTGATGCGCGGCTGAAACATGTGTGTCCGCGTACAGTGAGGGTGGGCCTGGCCGGCAAGAACCTGACAAGCAATGAATGTTCAAGCATGTAGGTGTGTGGGGAGAAATATGCATAGGATGAGGAAGGCTTGGTGTGTTTGTGTTGGAACCGGGCGTACACGTACGACCGGTGTCGTCTTGATCTTAAGCTCCACATTTAGTTTGTGTGGACGTTTGGGAAGGGACCAACCTGGCACCGAAACAAAAAGCCTACCTGGGGCACAAGTGATCGAATCATGGTATTACATCGTCTTGATCCTTGAGGTTTTGTTCTTGGTGGCCTGTTGTTTGGCATCATGAGAGCTGAGTGGTGTTTTTTTTTTATCTTGCTATCAAATCAGCGCCCACGGCACTTGTGCCGTTTACTCCAAACCCGTAGATACACAGAAGGGTTCCTCTCTCCCTGAGACCCCCAACCCACCCCTCATCATGCGGTGCTCTGCCTTCGATTTTTAATGGGAGAAGAGTGCAGCCCTCTCTTCCCTCCTGTGGACACACGAACTAGCGCTTTCCACGCAGGCCAAGAATGGAACCGAGAGAAAACTCACATTGCGACTCCTGACCCTGGCCACTCGAAGGTTTTCGAGGATACCAACTAGACTAACGGGGCGACGGCCGTGGGCTACATATTTGCCAGACTATTAAGTCTCCGACGAGGCCTGAGTCTCTGACCTTGTTTTCTTGTGTGACATTGATCATAATAGGTCCTCGTACTTTTCTCTTTGTGTGCAACTGGCACGACTCTGTGGTGGACTGTGACCAAGTTGTCCGCGTCAGGTTGAACCGTTACGGAGGATACAAAAAGATGCTTAGCAGAGATGGGGACGGGTTTTTTACATGGAGACAACAACAACAGCAACAACAACAACAACAACAACAGCAAGAACCACCAACACCAACAGATACCGCAACAGCCATGACTGCTTTGTTGAAGTGCGATGGGACGACCAACGCCAACAAACAAAGCGGGAGTGCCGAGCACGAACCCCCTTTGAATACACCAGACAGCAAAGGAGACATGGCCGCTCAACATTGGTGTCGTCATAGGTGTTGTATTAAGACCGTTGCGGACTGATAAAGTCTACCCGCAACTCGACCAAACCTTCAATGCAACCCTCCTAATAACGCACACCCCAGGAGTCGATTCAAACATCTTGGGGGCGCTAAACTTCCACGTGAGCTGAAACACTTGGATTTTTGGCAGAGTGGAAGCCAAGAAGTCCCATTTCTTTCCTCAGGGTGTTCAACCAGCTGCAAACATCGAACGAAGCGCGCGAAGGGCAAGCGTTATGAAGATCAACGTTAGAAAGAAAGTAAAATGTTTGTTCCAGTACCGACAGAAAATCATGTGCAACCAATTACGTCCTTTGCCTTTGCACTCGCGCGCCAGCCGACACGCCCACTTAATGTGTATTGTCATCTCATCTATGTTGGACCGCCGGAGTTTGTTACCTCTATTACAACGAGTTGTGGACACACTACTTGTGGACGCACAAGCCGCGACAAGTCATACAGATCAGGATATGAGATACATACCAGAACATCTGACTCACTCGACATGCAGAGCCACGGTACTTTGAGCTTGTTTGCCATCCATAGACAACTTGGCGAAATGCTCCCTCCTCTCTCGAGCAGCAATGCCGCTGCGTACTTCGTCTCGAGTGTCGAGGTCCGGACGATTCAACCATCGCTGAAAATCTAGTTCTGAGTCTTGATTGCAGTTATTGACCTGGAAACCGCTACCAAGACCACGACCTCGATGACGGGCGCTATGCTCTGGACGTGACGCTCGGGACCGGGAAGGAATGCCGGCTTGAGGTGACGAAAACTCTCCGAGGAAGGCGTGCGATGGATGAATCCAAAATCCTGAGGCAGCTGGGAATGCGGAGAACGGGTACCCAATTGGGAATGCCGACCGAGACCCTGGCAAAGTGTTCTCTTTGCCTTGTTTTGGTGCATGCCGTTGAGCTCGAGTTGGCTTTCTGTCTCCACGCATGGTACGCGGTCGGTTGAAGTCTCCAATGGAACTACCTGCAGTGAAGTCTGAAAAATCATTGTCGAGTTCCTGTGATTTAAAGTTAGGGGCAGCGACGACGGGAGGAGATTACGTACGCTTCGGTGGATTCAGGCATGAAGTAAGGGAGAGTCTGAGGCATGTTGAGGATATTTTGGGATCAACGAAGTGTCCCATCGGACACGCACCTGCTGCATGGCCTCAAGAGAACGAAACTGTAATGCATTGCTGCGGGTGCTGCCGCCGCTGTAGCTACTCTCAGGAGATGAAGTCTGCTCGCCAGGGGTGGCGAGTCTCGATGGATATTGCTCCTGGCTGGACCCCAAGCCAGAGGAGTCAGCTGCCAGGATTGTCTCGAACTCGGAAACCTTCTTTTCGCGTTGGTCGAGCCAGCACTTGCTGGAGCGTAACTGCTGGACAAATTTATTCAGTTTGTGCACCTCGCTGTCGAGTTCGCGCTTGGAATCCTCCAATGAGCGGCGTCGAGCAGAATGGTGAGGCCTTGCCTTGGTTGGTGAGAGTGATCTGCACCAATTGGGTGCAAATTTGTACCATTAAAACGAGAAAACATAGAAAAGCTTGCGCAGCTCGCAAGTGCGTTTTGAGTACCCACAAGCAAATACGATAGAAATAGATAGAAACGCGCATTCAAATATGTCAACCCGAGCTTCCGTACATGCCATGGATAATTGGAAACATGCAAACCGAGCACAGATTGAAATGGTAACAACGAACGTGCCAGGATATTCGCTACACTTCTCATGAGCGATTGCGTGGGGCGTACGTGAATCCCTACGTACTTACTCAGATTGTTGTCGCCACCGAGTTTGGCAGAGCAAAATTCGCTGTTGGCGCCTTTTCACTCTTTCCTTGTGATGTCTCACAGCTTCTTTCGCTTTTGCCAACATGTGCTTCTCTTCCATCAGTTTCTTTTTCCATGATCTTGAAGCCTTGGGGCACCCACAAAGACATGTAGAAATGGGCCAAGACAGCAGGCACGCATGCGGTCACATTGGTAATCATCGCGTGAGCATTGTGTGGAAAAGGTGCAGGTCATCTACCCACCGGATCAAGGACTACCCACGACCTGTCAAGAAACGGGAGTAGTCACTGAAAAATTCTGTGAAATGTGTCGAGTGTTGTTCTTCGCCCGGTGGATCCGATATCGCTTTTGGTTGTACACACCCGAGAAACACAGCATCTGGTTGGCTGGCTCGGAGATGAAGATGAAAATTTAGATGCTACGGTGCTGGAGCACCACGACATGGAGATAAATAGTGACATAGGAGATAAGTCTATGTACTAAATCCGTCTATCGGCGAGCGTGTATTGACTTCAACCCTTGAATTATTAACTTACCTTCT